ATCATCTTTTTCATCTTCATCATCATTAGTCACTACTATTAGTGTAGTTGTTGCTACTGTTCGGGGTCTGTTTGACATTTCTGCCTCTTAAACGTTTTTCCTTGCCGTTGTCTCCAAGGTCTTGCTCATGGTGGGAATTGTTGGGTCTCTGTAAATAATGCTATAAGGATTTCGGTCTATGAATAGATTATAGGAGAAATGATGTATATGTATGTATACATATACAAAATATATTCAAGATGTCACACATTCCAAACTCCTTTGAAAAAACTGAGATTTTAAAAGTTAAAAATAACCTTTAGTTTCAAACAAAAAGCTAGAAACTACACTGAGGTATTTGCACTGTAGTATGAGACCAACTGATCCTGTAATGATAAAGTTAATGATTGTTATCTTTAGATTATACATAATGGTGGAATGAAAGTACTGTTGTTGTTGTTGTTGTTGACTGCAAATGATTTATTATTAGCAGACATTATGAGGGATGCATGTGAGCCATACATTATTACCTGCTGTAGATTTATGGAAACGTATGTAAAGGTTTTTTTGAGGGCCAGATTCGACCCACAGGCCGCTGTTTGAACCACTGTAAACCAACCTTTCACTAATATCAAGAAGAGAAATGTCCAAAAAATACTAATGGTACAAATGCATATGTCTACATATATTTACATATATATTTATATAACTCAGATTTATGTTGCTGTAATGTATGTGTTTGTGAACCCTGAGAGCGGCCCTAACTCTGGTTACCACGGTTACCAAACACTCCTCTTCCCCCATCTGTGCATTGTTTGGGATGTCCAGCAGCCACCTCCTGTTGTCATGGTAACCTGTTAAATGGGGCTCAGTGCTGCAGGAAGTTCCTCTTCAAAACATAAAGGACCCCTCCCCCCCCCAACAGGAAGTGATGTAGTTGCTGAGCAGCAGAATTTGTCAGGAATGCTGCTGACCAACAGAAACACACACAATGACTGACCACACACACACACACACAGTCTGGATCAGTCCTAGACCAGCGGCTGGACCTGGACCTGGACCGGTGAGTCTTTTAGGTTTGCTTATTTCTGTTTGCTCTTACCTGTGTGACATCATCATGACATCACCTACCCACCTGTCTGTTTCCTGTCTCTAATCAGATGCTGGAAGAATTTATTGATCAGTTTGTGACAATGCAAAGAATGTATGTAAGCCCCGCCCACCTCCAGCAGTCAGACGATATGATTGGACGGCAGTTTGCTGTGATTGACAGCTCTGCTGACACAAACAGTAAACAACTAATAACGTTTTCTGTTTACGTCACTGAAGTTTGTAAACATGTAACTCTGATTGGATGAAGAATGTTTGTGTTTGTTTTTACTTTATTTAAAATAAACACGTTTGTATGAAAGTATAGATTGACATTAAAACATGTAAACATATAAACATATAAATTAAACTTTCTGTTTAATGTTAAACTGTCATTACAGTGTTAACAACAACAACAACAACAACAACATTAAAATTAGTTATGATATTCTCACAGTTTCATTTCTGATGACGCCATTTTCTGATTGGACGCAAATCAAATCAAACAACAAATCGTTACATCACTCAGGACTTCAACACGTCCTCTTGTCTCTGCAGGGTGGATGCTGATTGGTTCCTGCTGGCTGAAGGTCTGACTGACATCATCATCACCAGTAGGACCAGTAGGGACCAGTTGGACCAGTCAGATCCAGTTGGACCAGTCAGATCCAGTTGGACCAGTAGGACCAGTAGGACCAGTAGGACCAGTAGGACCAGTAGGGACCAGTAGGACCAGTCAGATCCAGTAGAACCAGTCAGATCCAGTAGGACCAGTAGGACCAGTCAGATTCAGTGGGACCAGTAGGGACCAGTAGGACAAGTAGGACCAGTAGAACCAGTAGGGATCAGTAGGACCAGTCAGATCCAGTAGAACCAGTCAGATCCAGTGGGACCAGTAGGACCAGTCATATCCAGTAGGACCAGTAGGACCAGTAGGGATCAGTAGGACCAGGATGTTCAGGTACACGCCCCCCTGGCAGGTTCTTTGTTACAGTCTGGACCACGACTGCAAGGTGAGACCTCATGCAACCTGAGCTCAGACAGGAAGTGTGTCAGATGGTTGTGTTTGTGTGTGACCAAGAAATAAACATAAACACCAATAAAATAATAGTGTGACCAGCAGAGGGCGGCAAAAGATCAACAGACACACATAAACATAAACAAACAATAAACTGCATTATATGAAGAATATATATTATATAATAATATAATAATAAACTGCATTATATAAAGAATATATATAATATAATAATATAATAATAAACAAACAATAAACTGCATTATATAAAGAATATATATAATATAATAATAAACTGCATTATATAAAGAATATATATAATATAATAATTTAATAATAAACAAACAATAAACTGAATTATATCAAGAATATATATAATATAATAATTTAATAATAAACAAACAATAAACTGCATTATATAAAGCGTGTGTGTGTGTGTGTTACTGTGTGTGTGTGTGTGTGTGTGTCTGTGTGTGTGTGTGTTACTGTGTGTGTGTGTGTGGGCGGAGTCTCTGATTGGACGATAGCAGTTGAACTTTGTCTCTCAGTTCTTCAGTCTGACAGTTTTTGCTGCTGCTGACAGGACACTGATCTCAGGTGAGACAAACTGCTTTTATTATTTATGTCTTAGAAAGAAAGAAAGAACAGCAGCAGTTCAGTCTGGTTGATTCGTACAGTATGAATGAATTATTCACTGATGATTCGTTTTATTTATTAATCTGAACATTAAACAGTAATTACAGTATAATATTGATCACTTCAGACTCTGCATCATCAATATGAGAGAAAATCAATAAGAAATCAATAAATAGACAAACAGATGATTTAAACTTCAACATTTTAAGTGATTTCTGTATAAAAATACAGACAGACAGGTAGAGAGACAGAGAGAGAGACAGACAGAGAGAGAGAGAGAGAGAGAGAGGAGACAGACAGACAGACAGACAGGCCAGAACAGTGTTTCTCTTCATCTCTCAGCATTTGTTTTGATCCAACACAGAGGGGAGGACCCGTCCGACCTTCTGTTGCTCTCTCTCCGTGTTGATGCTTCTGCTCTCAAGTGGAACTGTATCTTTCTGTCTCTCTCCCTGCTCCTGCACTGTCTGTTGTGTGATACAACGGGTGGTGGGGGGGGGGGCGGTTATCAGCGCACGTGTCAGACTGCTGGGGCCGGGGCTTATCACTGACACACCAGGACACGCACTGAACTAACTCTTGCGTGCTAATGCTAAACGGCTAACTTCCTCTCTCAGGTTGCTGGCAAGCATGAATCATATGAAATATGGTCTTATTGCTGTTCGTGGGTGTTCTGTGTCTTCGTCGTCCTCTTCGTCTTCATCTGGTACTACAGGAACGTCCCAATCACACAACCACCCTAACTGACGATCAAAATGTTCAACGTTTATGTCCCTCTGATGACAGAATTGGTACCTAATGAGCTATTTGTCCTCTTTATGTGGCATAAAAACATTTTTATTTCAGGAAACAGTACAGAGAACCCCCCCCCACCCCCGCCTGACCACAGCAGGGGGAACCTCAGTGGGGGGGCTAATGGGAGATTTAATCCGCTCTTTGGGGGATTAACAATTCTCAATATATTGAATGTATTTTAAGAAATAACACTTATAATGCGTTGTTCAGCGAGAACATGGCAGATTTAGTATAAATGTTACAGCAGGGCCACAGTTGCGCTAGCCCAACCGCAGGGCTCCATAAAAGGGAGGGACAAAAAAAGAAAATGAGCCCCATGTAGGAATGCAAAGCATGAGGAACTAAGATTGACAATGAAACTGTGATAATACTTATTATATTATTATTATATACCAATAATAAATTGGGAAAGTAAGGTTACACTGACGGTTGTTCGTAAGTTCTTATTATTATACATCATTTTATTCTACTGTCAGCATAAGTGAACCTTACAGGGTGTCAATTATACATGTACATTTTATTTTATTGATTTGTTTGGCATAAAGAGTATAATTATTTTAACAGATATGATTTTAACAAAACACTTTACTCAGACTGACAGGGAAATAAAATCTATATTTGTAGGAGGTTCAATGATTTATAATACACGTGATGAATCTGACTTTATTTCGTCAATAACCATCATTGATCCTTCAGTTCTGGGTTCATGGACTCAACAAGTAGCTTCCAGGTATTATTGCCTCACTGTATGATAACACAGTGGTTTGCCATGGTAACGTGTCCATCTGGCTTTATGACACGCTGTTAAACGTGTTATCGCTGATCGATGGGCTCTAGTAAACTTTATTGATTCTCAGATTATTCAGATTTTATTATCTTACAGATAACACAAGTACTTCTACTCCACTAAATTTCAATATTACACTTTTAAATATATAATTGTTGGAAGAAATCTGTTTAAACATTAACTGTGTTTTCATCTGAAAAGACCCTGAATCCCACAATGCTTTGCATGACCAGTTGAGCAGTCATTGTTTTTGGGCATGTTAAAGATTTTTATATTATGTACTCTCATCCAGAACTGCTGCACAACCGAGTGGCAGTTACCCATTACTGTCTTGTTCCATAGTAACAGATTCCTCTCTGTTGTTTCAGAGACTCTCTCAGAAGTGTCTGCGAGGATGTTCTGACCCTCAGCGTTTAAAAAACAATCCAAGCTCCGTTTCAGCAACTTCCTCCATCAGATCTCTCTGCCTCCTGCAGCCCCCACAGCGCCCTCTGCAGCCACAAGCGCCCCCTGCTGCCCCCACAGCACCCCCTGCAGCCATGGACAGCACCCCGAGGAGATGGGTGCTGAAGCCTCTGTCTCCCCTGCTGCAACCCTCAGACCTGCGTACCATAACCAGCCCCACACGGACCGATGGCCTTGACTGGGACGATCCAGTCTTCACCTCCAACAGCATCTCCGTGGCTCGCAGTCAGTCCTCTGTGGTCATCTCTTCACAGCAGGGTGACAGGTCCAGGGACGTGGTGGTTCAGGCCCAGCAGGTGGCAGTGTCACAAGATGGAGGGAGCACCAGCGACGAGTGGCATCCCAGTAGCCCCAGCATCCCTAGCAGTCCCAGCAGCAGCTCAGGCTCTCACTGCGGTTTCTACTCCTTTGTGGAGGATCCGACGAGTCCGGAGGCCGAGCTGAATGAAGCCTGGATGGTCTCGCCGCAGCGGCAGACTCAGCTGGCGACCTTAAAGGAGGATAAAGGATTCAAACTACAGACCTACACCAGCAGCAGGAAGCCAGAGAGTCTGTTCTCAGAGAGCAATGGCGACAGGCAGTATAAAGTAGATCTGTCCGACGGCATCAAAGTGGTTCAGAAGGAAGAGGAGAAGGAGCTTCGAAAGGAGATCATTCGTAGCCAAGCACCAAAGAAGAACCCAACATTCAAAGACCAGCTGAGTGCGCTGGAGAATCTGGATCTGAGCCGATCTACAAACAAACTGATAGATGGTTTCAGTGTGAGCTTCAGTCCTTCCAGCTTCAGACCAGAACTTCACCGCACTGCTGACCCTGGGACCATCGACAAGGAGCAGATCAACTTTAGTGCTGCACGAAAACAGTTTCTGAAGATGGAACAGGAGCAGCTGACAGCACTCCTCAATCCTCTGAGGTCTTCAAAAACACATATGAATGCGTCTCTGCAGCCAGATCTGGATGCGTCCTCGTCAAGTCAGGTGGAGACATACCGCATGGAGATGAGTGAAGATACAACACAGTTTAAACCATCAGAGGACCCAGAGAGTAAGATGACGGTGTGCCGGACTGAGGAAAGTCTCAGCCGGCAGAGCAGTGTGTTCGACGACCTGGACTCCGGGCTGGAGGAGCTTTCTGTGGAGGTGGGTGGCGGCTACACAAGTGACGAAGGTGTGTTCAATGACAACTCTCGGCAAAACAACAGGAGCGACTATGAGACGCCAATTGAAAGGGAGATCCGGTTAGTTCAGGAACGCGAGGAAAACCTGCGGCGCTCTCGAGGGCTGAAGCACAGTGTCAGCAGAGCGGAGATGGTAGAGATTAAAACTAAACGTTTACAGTCGCCTTTGGCTTTAACGTCTGTTAAAGCCAAAGAGAAGAGCCGAGTGAGCTTCATCATCCAGCGTGAGCTCCAGAAGGAAAACCAGAGGAAGGAGGAGCCTCAGCAGCAGGGACAATACAGTCTGGATCCTCCACAGGAGATTGAGCACATACAGAAGGAGTTTGACCAACAAGACGGGGACAAGAGGACAGAAGAAAGACCTCAGTCTGGAGAAGTCTTCCCGTCACCTTGCTGTCCTCATCGACACCCCGAAGAAACTGAGTTGTATATCAGCCGAATTAGTTCAGCTCCTTCCTCCTTCTCTGTGAGGGACTCAGATTTCACAAGAGGTCTCCACCAAGATCGAATAACTTCTTCATCTTCCTCTTCTCTCTCGTCCCCAACACCTCTGCCGGACACGACCTTGAACATGCCTCGGTCCTGGAGGAAGAACCTGGAGTCCACTGGCCTGCAGTCCAGTGGACAAAGAGCTCCGGATTTCATTGAGAAGGAGATTGAGGAGGTCCTGAAACGAGAGCAGGAGCTGCGGGAACTGAGGGAGTCCAGGGACGAAACTGATCGACAGCTATTCTCTCCGGCCCCTTTGGTGGAACAGGCAACCAAGATGGCCGTCAGTCAGTTCTACCCACCTGTAAGCACAGGTATGTAGTCCTCATCATGGTTGGATTACTGTCCAGGAAACTGGAAACGTTATACATTTATTACTTTAGATTAAATCCAGTGCTGCAGGAATGAGTCATAAAACCTTGAACTGAGTTAGTATTTTTGCCCCTCTGGTTCCCCCACCTGAGGTCAGTGGGTTCTTTAAATGGGTTTTTGGTTAGATGACTGAAATAGGGTTATAAGAGATTTTCCCATTTTATTCTACAACATAAAATACGTCAATATGTGAATGTTGAAGCTTTTGTTGTGTTAAAAAGGTGGCTGCTAACAAGTGTCTAAATGAGACTACAGAGGTTGTCGGTAACATTAAAACATGGAGACTTATCTATTCAATTTCAATTCAATTCAGTTGAATTTTATTTGTATAGCGCCAATCTCATAACAGAAGTTATCTCAGGACACCTTTTCAAATAGAGCAGGTCTAGACCGAACTCGCTTATAACATTTACAGAGACCCAACCAGTACCACCATGAGCAAGACCCTTGACGACGGGGGCCAACGGAAAAACTGCGCTTTTAACAGGCGAACCAGGACAGAGAGAGAGAGGACGAGAGAGAGAGGTTGAGAGAGAGACAGACGATGTACAGGCCACAACAGTAGCCAACAACTACATTAATAGTAGTGACGCGATGACGATCATGAAAAAGACGATGACGATGACAGCAGCCAACGATGGGGAGGCAGCAAGCAGCCGACAACAGCACTGTAGCAATAATGAATACTTAATAATAACTAATTAATAACATAATATCAGTGATATTAGCAATGCAGTCTAGCAGGACCATGGCAGGAGGCTCCACCAGGATCCATGAGCAACCTGCAAGACGAGAAAGTAGCAAGAACTCTGGGGGAAGAAGTGAAGTAGTAAGCATGCATTAATGGGACATGAATGGTTGGCGCAGCAAAGAGAGAGGAGGAAGAAGGAGCTCAGTGCACCCATGGGAAATCCCCGATAGTCCTAGGCCTATCAGCCAGCCATAACTAAAGGATGGTTCAGGACTCCCGTGATGCGCAGCCCTAACTATAAAGCTTTATCAAAGAGGAACGTCTTAAGCTACTCTTAAATGTTGGCAGAGGGTGTCTGCCTCCAGAACCACAACCTGGCTGTGTGTTGCTGAAGAGGAACTAGGTTGTTCTTATTTTCTTCTATTAGTGTTGAAGTAATAGGCCTAGCTCCTGGCATTATGGACGGCCTTTCTTAGGATTTATGACTGTCTTGCGATTGAACGGTGATATAACCACCATACGAGAGCGCGCATTTCCTTTCAGATTTTTGGCTTCATGGCGCCACTAAGTAGCTTCTATAGGAATGAAACAGAGCCTGCCGCCAATGCTGTAATCCCAGTTCTTTGTAATACATCATCGGGAAACCCGAGAAGCCCTTTGGGGTTAGCTCAAACTTTACCAAACCTTATAGATTGTTAATCACAGTGCAGATTGTTTAACTGTAATGTCCATTGGATGCGCTGTCATACAAACTCTGATGTATTCAAGGTGAAATGCAGAAAAGCCTCCTAACATGGTAGGCTCCACAATAAAAGTTTACTTTTGGCTTGCTTGTCTCGGTGGTTGCAGGCTTTACTGGTTGCACCTCCCACTGAACTTGTGTCTCCCAGTAAACTGAAGACCATGAAGAACAAACGGACTGAAATGTGAATGGAGTCTGGAAAGGGGGGGGGGGGGGGGGGGGGGGTGGAAAGCCTGCTG